GTATATTTTACAATGCAGGATGTCTTTGAGTGATTGCTCCATATTTGAGTGTATTTGGTCTTGCATTTTTGCCAATTTTGACTTGAAGGTGCTGTGTGTTGCTTCATACCTTTTCACTGCACAGCAGAACCTCACCCCTGCATAACCAAGAACTAAGCAACACACTGTACATCATAGTACATGGTTCATAACATACAAGACATTATGTACAAAGTGTAATTAAAATTGTCCATCAACCAGTTTTTATATATCAACGCACTAAAATAATATTTACATAATTTGATAAATAATTGTTCCATGATGAATATTCATCTGGCTGAGGGTTTCGATTGTTTTGTTTTAAGTGTCTGACAGTAGTAACCAGAATAATTGTAACCGTGCCATCAAGGTTATGTCTCGAGCTGTTGATTGATTTGTGACACTGTGACTTTTTGTGTGAATAAACGTCACCATAAATGGGAAAGTTCATATATTTTTTTATTTTTTTTAAATGTCAATTACAAGCTTGAATCATGAGTAAAGTTCAGCAAATAGGTTGGAAATGAAGAACATAATATCATAATAAGTTGACAAAAACTATGCATTTACGGCATATATTCAATCATTATAAATACATTTGAACAAATTAGAATGAATGACCAAATTTGCTGGGGCATTTTGTAGCTGGGGCAGTTCGACTGGTTCGACTGGTATATATTATCAAAATCAGTAAGAGATTTCACATGAGCTTGAACATGTTTCGCTTTAACGTTCTTTTCGGTTTGGAGCCCTAAATGATGCAGTCAACTCGAAACATTGTCGAATACAACGGCAAATCATGAAGTACTTGTTGCTTTCATTGTGTTCCATTTTGTCCAATTACGCACGTCAGCATCAGATTCGCTATTTGTCAGTAGTGTGTGCCGTGAAAGTTGTTCTGTATTCTCATTGGCTGACAGGATGTCATTCCCAGGCTTTGACCGAGTACCATAACTATTTCCATAACCAAACAATGGGGAAACATACGTGGTCCTGACTAGTATTTATAATTCACCAGTTTTCGGGAAATAACTTATCTGCGTCGCGAATATTATCTCTGCTCGACCAGGCTGGGATCTTGTATCGAGACTTGATACGTTATTAATGAGAACTAGGATCCTAATTTTTTCTAACAAAATAATTCCACTGTAATTTTTGAAGCAGATAGTTTTTATTTTCCCTCGTCTGAATAATTAAAATAATTCGTAGTGATTGGTCATCTATTTATAGGGGTGAGTTTGCTGGCTGGAACTGTATGACATTTTGCTGACAAATTGTAATCTTTTTAAATGATATGGTCTATTTTTTAATTTATTTTGACCTCAAGCGGTGCCTCCATTTCACTTGATTCTTCTTCTTCATCTTCAGTGGAAGATTGTCTTGCAAGATGTAAAATCGGATCGTATTGATACGGTCTAACATCCATTTCAGAAATGACATCAGGAACATATACTGAGTCAAAAAAGAAACTTCACAAAATGTAATTTGAAAAATAATGAATAATTTTTCTCTGATGATACATCTATGTATCCGAAGTGGGATCCCTATCTTTCGACTCTAGAAAAACGTTAGCAAAACCCACTCAAACCCATCCATTCGTCGTGCAAATGACGTTAGTGCCAAATCAGGTTTTGCACGTGCAGTCGATCACGTGATCTTCGCATCGAAGTTTTCTTCATATGCACGTGTTTGCATTGGCCTCAAGAATTGAAAAAACACTTTTATACCACAGTTCTAACGGTACTTGAAATGCCACGATTGTCAAATGTGCAACGTGAACGTGCCGTTGGCATGTTGCAAGCGGGAAGATCAGTTATTGACGTCGCAAGAGCAATGGGATGCAGCCGTCGTACTGTGTATGACTTGCGAGGTCGTCTACAACAAACTGGCACCACTTCTGATCGCCCAAGGTCGGGTCGTCCACGTGTGACGTCACGAGCAGAAGACCGTCAAATCGTCCTACGTCACCTACGTGACAGATTTCTGCCGGCTACACGAACCAGGGTTGAGATGTTTAGAGGTCGACTGTCCTCACAGACCATTCGAAATCGGTTGTGGGATGCCAATCTCCATTCTCGACGTCCATATCTTGGGCCAATATTGACGCCGTTTCATTAACGTCAACGTCTGCTGTGGGCCCAACGTCACCTCCGATGGACCCAGAGAGACTGGAATCGAGTCGTCTTTAGCAATGAATCTAGGTTTACCCTCAGATGCGCGGACGGCAGGCATAGAGTCTGGAGACGACGTCGTGAACGGTATGCCCAATGTTGTGTACAGAAAGTCGACAGATTCGGGGGCGGAAGTTGCATGGTGTGGGGTGCTTTCTGTGGGAACAACCGTTCCCGACTTCTGGTCATCCGTGGAAACCTCACAGCTGCTGCTTACTGCGACCAGGTGCTCACCCCTGAACTCGTTCCTTTCATGGCGGCTCATGGCCCAGGTCTACAGTTCCAGCATGATATTGCTCGGCCGCATACCGCGATGTTGACACGAAATTTCCTTCAAAACGCTGGAATCAACGTCATGGACTGGCCATCGAGGTCCCCTGACCTTAATCCAATAGAGCACGTTTGGGATGCACTTGGGAGAAGGCTTCGTGGTCTTAGGAACCAACCTCAGAATTTGCAGGAACTTGGCGCTGCCTTGCAAGAGAAATGGCGCAGAATCCCCAACCACGTGTTCACAAGCATCAGGCAGTTGATGAGGAGACGGTGTTTGGCAGTGGTGAATGCGCGGGGCGGCCATACACGATACTGAACTGAGACATTTCGCATTTTTATTCTTGTGTATCGAGTACATCACACAGATCTCAGCAATGAAATAATAACAATTTAACCATCTTACCATCTCTTGTTCTTTTATAGTGCCCTGAAGAAAGAATGTGAAGTTTCTTTTTTTGACTCAGTATTTTACTGCTTCAGCATCCACGGACACTGTTAAGTTGTGAGGTAAAATCAAAGAGAAAGCCATCAGCAACAGGCACTTATGACGTCAAGTCACGTGATACCCCTCTGCTCATTAACTGTCGGGTGTTTCCGTAATAGGCAGAAATACGAGTACGTTTTTGTGTTTTTATTGCTATTTTACAAACTTTTTGTTCAATTTTAATCACAGAATGTGAGTTTTGGAATATCCTTTACAATATATCAAAAGTTTTGTTTTTGTTCGTATTCTCCTTTAACGATAAGACAATCGTAATTCGCTTTGTGTAAGTGCACGTGGGCGCAGACCCTGGGCCTAGATTTCCGAAGCTCTCTCAGCGCTAAGATAGTCGTAAGTTAATGTTAATGTATGGCACATACGGCTATCTTAGTGCTACGAGAGCTTCGAAAATCTAGGCCCTGGTCTACAAAGCGATCTTAGCGCAAGGACAATCGTACGACAATGTTAAGGGTACAGGGGTTACGATCACCTTAGCAAAATAAATCGTTTTGTGGAACGGGACCCAGAACCACGAAGCAATTTCTATAGGCCTACTGTGCAACATGACGTGCCCTGGGTGGCACTCTTTACGACTCTGAGCAACTTAACATGTGCAAGAATAAGAGGCATAATAAGTCTGTTGCCGTGAGACAGATTCACTGGAGCGGAACTTGTACTTCCTGTTACAGAAACAGAATTTTTCAAGTATATCTATCTCCTTGTACTCGTATAAATCACGAATGCATCGTGTCGGGAATATAAGTGCGACTTTGTCGGAAAAAGGATATATGTTTCAACAGAAACGTGTCTGTTTGGCGCTTAACTGTATACGTAAAATCTAGTGTCCAGCGGTCACAAAAAAACACACGCTTATGTAACGAATTCGGCCAGCATGTCATCGATATTGCCGAGACTGTCCCCTTATATGGTCTAACAGCCCCTGAACCGCAATATTTTCCCATCTGCCCATCTTTCCTTGAAGGTGTTCCACAGTTTGAGGAGTGAGTGAGTGAGTTTAGTTTTACGCCGCTTTTAGCAATATTCCAGCAACATCACGGCGGGGGACACCAGAAATGGGCTTCACACATTGTACCCATGTGGGGAATCGAACCGGGGTTTTCGGCGTGACGAGCCAACGCTTTACCAACTAGGCTACCCCATCGCCCCCTCACAGTACTAGTTTGAGGAAGCAGACGCGGACTATTTTCGTCGCCTGATCCTCCACGACGTCAACAACAATGGAACGTGGAAGAAAGTGTGAAAAAACCACACATTTATAGAAATAAATCCGATGTGAAAGGTAGGTGGAAGGATTCGAGGGAGCCTTTCCTTAAAAACAACCCAGGTGGCGCTGTTCACGCGAATATTTTAAGCTTTTATCTCACGTTGAACTAATATCCGGGCCAAAATTGGAAGTTCAGGTTCAGGGTATGGTTCAGACTTAGGTTCAATTCCAGACAATGTCAATTCTGGTTCTCCCTGTCGTTATATCGATGGAATATTCCTTAAAGTGGAATTATAGCAAACTCACGTTTTGAAAGTTTCTGTTGACAATTATGTCCCCTCAGCTTGTTTGTTTGTTGCTGGTTTGTTTGTTTTTGTTTTTTGAGGAAAATACTAGAAAACTGCAATAAACGACAGGTTAAAAGATAAAGTGAGTGAGTGAGTTAAGATTTAAAGTCACATCGGCAATATTTCAGCCATATCGTAACGAAAGATAAAGTAATCAGAAACATGCACCCAACCTTTAACGCTAAAGTATTGTTTATTTATATATTAATAGCGAAAACAATTTCTTTTATCTCAGCTTAGGCCATTATGCATATTCCGCAGACAACCACGTGACGTGTTCACTCGTGACGTCATACGTGACTAAAGTCGGCCATATTACCTAAGACCAAGCGCCTGGTGGGTTTCACCAAAGTGGCCAACGTCCAGTAACTGCATCACTTCGAGTTCTCCTCCCACATTGTCCAGAGCGGCGTTGATCCCAACCCACTCAATCACTAAACAAGGCAAAGTGAATTTCTCCATGGGCAGACTATACGACTCAGATACAGGTTTAGTTTTATATTTATTGCATACATCATCCAGCACTACACCACAATGCATAAATCCAGGAAACATTCAAGCAAAGTTTGGGAACTTGAAAAGAAACATAATAACTGTTTGTCCAAACCACATGTGCCACTGCCAAGGGCATTAAGATTATGTATGTACATCATGCAACAGGCGCGTCACTTGACACCACCGTACAAGCCTAGAGTGGGCGGTGGGGAAGCCTTGTGGTCTAATCGTTGGCTCGTCACCTCAAAGGCCCGGGTTCGATTCCCCACATGGGTACAATGTGTGAAGCCCATTTCTGGTGTCCCCCGCCATGATATTGCTGGAATATTGCTAAAAGAGACGGAAAACCATGGACAACCATCTGTCAGCATGGACAGTCATGTTATCTAACGTGGACATGTTATCTTATGGACACCTTATCTGATGTCCATGAACTAACTTTATCCTATCATACGTCTGTGAACAGAGATGCTTTTCGTATATTGTCCATAAATATGCTTTATGTAATGAAAACAAAGACATTGTGTGGAATGTCTTCATATATGACTTACATATCATTTACCAGCGGTGTGTATACGTCCTTAAATTGACGATGTGTACAATGTCCTTGAACACGAACACTGTGTAAAATGTCCATGAACAGGGACGTTGAGAATAACAGGGACGAGGTGTGTGTCCGAGACGACAATGTCAGTGATCATGATGATGTGTATATTCGGTCCATGATCAGGGACACCACGTCTATAATGTCCATGAACACGACCATGTGTGATGTCAGTGAGCAGTGGTACCCAAGGTGTATATCAAAGTCCATCAAAAGGGACACGGGTATATAATGTCCATAAACAGGGATTAAGGTGTATATACGATCCAGAAGAAAAACACTAAAACCGGAAAACACGGATCGCTTCAGACCATTCCCCCAGTATATTTCTTCTCAATTGTCTCTAGATGTTCCCTCGCCTTCATCCTTAGTGCCACGATGCTTGAGTTCCGTGGATCGGAGTCACCCAGCTTGGATGTCAAGGGGTTAAATACCCCCGAAAATGTATGTAGTTTGGATGTGATGGCATTGGACTGGAATGCTGGAGAGAAGAACGTGGGATATGACGTAGGCGTCTGCGAAAACACTGGGCTTAATGACGTCAGGCCTTGCGTAGAAGTTGTTATTGGCTGAGGGACGCCATTGCCGAGAGCGCATGCGCTTGCAATCGGTGGGGTCAACCAGGGGTCAAGTGGCAAGGTGGAGGTCAACACGTTGGTAGTGCGTTTGGTAACTGGCGGACCGGAATATGTTTCCGTCAGCTTCCCACCCTCCAGTTTCTCCTGTCGACGCCATTTTGCTCTCCTGTTTTGGAACCAGACCTGAAAAGAAGACCAAAGAACGTTAGTTCGATTACTAAAAAGGTCATTGTAACTATAATGACAGTGCTAGTGGTTGGTTGGTTGGTTGGTTGGTTGGTTGGTTGTTGTTTAACGCCGCATTCAGCAATATTATATCTATATGGCGGAGGTCTGTAAATAATCAAGTCTAGACCAGACAATCCAGTGATCAACAGCATGAACATCGATCTACGCAACTGGGATACGACGACATGTGTCAACCAAGTCAGCGAGCCTGACCACACAATCCCGTTAGTCGCCTTTTACGACAAGCATGGGTTGCTGAAGACCAATTCTAACCCGGATCTTCATAGGTCGACAGCACTAATGGTAATGAAAAGCCACGTAAGAAATACGTGCACATAAAATGTTCCTGAATTCCGTGGTGAGGTAAGGATGCCTTAGTTAAAGCGGGGGCGGTGGGGTAGTCTAGTGGTTAAAGCGTTCGCTCGTCACGCCGAAGGCCCGGGTTCGATTCCCCACATGGGTACAATTTGTGAAGCCCATTTCTGGTGTCCCCCGCCGTGATGTTGCTGGAATATTGCTAAAAACGGCGTAAAACCATACTCAGTCAGTCAGTCAGTTAAAGCGCTGCCTTGGGGACTAAGATATCCTGGTTAGGTTTATATGAAGCCACAATTTGTGAAGCCCTTTTTTGTGCACAAAGCCGGTACATTACGTAAATAGTGCTTAAAGCGGGTGTGAAACTACACCAATTCCTTCGAGTAGTTTTACCCGTTTTAGCAACATTCCAGCAATATCACGACAGAGGACACCAGAAATGGATTTCACACATTGTATCCACGTGGGGAATCGAACCCGGATTTTTGCCAAGACAAGCGAACGTTCTAACCACTAAGCTACCCCAATGCATTAATTCATTTGAGTCGCTTTAGTTCACTAGCGGGAAAGGACTTTGGATGGCGAACTAATAGCTTCCAAAGCATCTGTATTGAAACGCTAATACTGAGATGAAGTGCATGGTATTTATCTTCCACATTCGCTATGCAGAGTTGTGTACCTTTGACGTGACATGATCCTATTATCATAGGATCGAATTCACGATTCGTCCTGATTAGAAGTGGTTAAGGCGTTCGCCCGTCACGCCTGAGACCCAGTTCGATTCCCCACATTTGTACAATATGTGAAGCCTATTTCTGATGTCCCCCGACGGGTTTTTGCTGGAATATTGCTAAAAGCGGCGTAAAACTAAACTCACTCACTTGCTTTCCTCACACATTAAACTTGAATACCGTGAATTACTGAAATACTGTTCAAGGCGGCGTTAAATCAAATTCACTCCTCAACGTTTAGTGTAAGGCGTTGACATGACAAGTTGTGCGTGCCTTGTGTCTGCTGACCTTTCTTACAAACTACAACTGATTAGCTCGCATTTTCATTGGATAATTCGCCCATTACACACATGTGTAAACTGTGTAATCCCGTGTTAAGAAGCAATGTACGACGTTTTATAAATGGTCCTCCAATCTCTTCAACAGTGTCCAGATTAACCTAGCTTTCAAATTGGCTTTAATGTGACATTTAACTTTCGGTCCGAGACGCCATGCCCAGCTAATAACAAAGTCTTAAAGAGCGCTTTAATTAATTCAATAACAGCCCATTCAATTTGGCGTATTAATTTGCTTCAAGACGCATTACTCAGTTGAGTTGTCGCACGACATGAAAGCGCAAGAAGAAAGAATCCCAACTGGCGTTATCCTGAGGGGGCAAATTAAATAGGGGGAAATTTGTAGCCTATCAGTTCCTCGTTAGCGTGCCAAAGGGAGACGAAATTTGATTTCGTAAAGAATGGCAGCACAGAAATCTGTCATAACCCATTTAACTCCATTACGTTTGCTAAACACTAGGGATTTGTTATCGTTGCCCATTCAACATAAATACATGTTTACAATTACCGTTTTCACACTTTTCATACAACCAGCAGAGTATTCAAATACATATGTTACTAATATTGTAAAAAGGAGCCATATTTGCACTGGACAATAATATTTCAGTTTGTATACAAATGATCAAAGCAATGTTCATCATATGGGTACGTTCATCATATGGGTATTTCACGACCATCTTATGTCTGTGTTTACCGAAGAACATTTATCAAACATGACGTATTGGGGAAAGTGATATTTTTTCTTTGTTATGTTACGTATAATTTCATTTTTCATATTTTTGTAGATACTGGTGCAACAAATTAATTTTCTATGTCATTAAACAGTTATTACAATCGAGAAAATCGACACATTTCAGAGTATTAAAATTAACATTAAATGAAGCCGATGAGTTATTTTGATACAACATTACAAACGAGTCGCCAAATAGTTTACTGGCAAATTGGTGACCGCTACCAGCTGAATATGTGATGTTCAGCAAACCCACTATGTTTGGGCTTCTTGGTTCTCGCTTGAGAAAAAAAAACTGTAGGCATTTCTACGATGAATGGCTGAGTAGAGACTGATGGTGGACATGTACTGTCGGTTAATGACCGTTAAAAATAATCAGGATACAATTTGGTTAAGTGATGACCAGTACGATAACATTAGGATTGCTCATCTATTTTCGGACTATATTTCGTAAAACCACGACCAAGCAATGGTCTGGTAACAGATAAGGTTGTGAACTTTGAACGATATGTCTTCCCTGTCTCGGTTTTAGTGGTCAGACCACGACAGTCTGTCCACTCGGACAATGTCTTCACGTCGATGGCCAGACTACAATGAACACTCCCTACGGGGACCGGTCATTTTCCTCAACGATCACTTTGATAAGGTTCAATTGTGTGCGGACTACGGGTTGCCCAAACGAGGGTCGGGTCAGTGCTTTAGGGGGATATTAAACTCGGTGCGTTTCCCCAATTACTTTGTTTTCGGCACTGACACACAACAAAAGTGATGGAGATGAGGTTTTAGCTCGCTTCACTTCCTCATTAAAGATGTCGTTGACAGTTGGCTTCTTAGCGCGAGAGGGTGCTAATTTGATTGTGAGATGTGCTTATTAGCCAATCAGATACGCTCATTTCTAAGCCATTTGACTCGTATAGCTCGTGCTTGAGACGACACTTAAAGCAACAATTACGACAACTAATGGCGTTACACATTTCACCGACAAAGAATAACAGTAATACAATTCTGGACAGATGAGAAAATTGAGTAATGAGTTGATAATGACTTGATTATTACAAAAGTTGACTAAATCAAGAGGTATCGGAGTAGTCCGGCCCTCCTTTCTGCTTGATTAAAGAGCGTTTTCGGCTTAATGGAGACTGCGATAAGAGAAGGGAGGTAAGCGAGTGAGATTCAGTAATATGTTACCCAGTATGATATTTCCAGGGGAGCTCTCAAACATGATACACCCCCGGGTAGTGGTGGTACAGGGCCACACACATCCCTTTAAAGCATATTCCACATTCGTACATTTTTATTTTTATCGCTGATTAGTTGTGTTTGTTGTAAATGAAACTAGCATAATAATAACACTATACATAACACAACTACGAAATTGAATTTTCTACGTGGGTTATGAGGTTTTGTCTTGGATTGTTATTTTGTGATCAGAATATGAACCCTCTTGTCCAAAAAAGATTAAATCAATTTTCAGAGAGAGAGAGACACACATTTGAAGAAACAAATGTTTAAAATGTCTGAGGATACTCGAAGTGTGGAGTGTTTTGGACAGAAGTGTCTATAGTGCTCTCGAAAACCAATTTCAGAGTTTTCTCTCAGCATGGTATGTGAATACTTTATTATATAAATGATGTACCGTCGATAAGCTTAAGGTTTTGACCTTACACCGTATGTGACACGAGTGATTTGGAAAGGTTAAAACATGTAAGAACCTTAATACAAAATATGTTCCTTTTAAATGCAATGGGCAGGTCATCTCGGGAAAAAATACAAGTGACACCTGAATAAAATATATGTTTGTTTCGTTGTTGGTACTGTTTTTTAATCTTGCAGGTTTTGTTGCGGAACTCACCTGAACTCTGACCTCCGGAAGATTTATTTTGATGGCTAACTCTTCTCTGCTGTACACATCCGGGTAGTGGGACTTCTCGAACGCGCGCTCAAGTTCGTGCAGCTGGTATGTTGTGAAAGTAGTCCGGTTTCGACGATGTTTCTTTTTTGGAGAATCGTCATCATCATCCCCGCACTGGCCATCTGACTCCCCTTCGCTGTGACTATGACTGTGACGGGACCTCGACATGTCCTCTCCAACTGTGAAAACAATATAGATAGTTAACATGAAATGAAAACTTTCAGAATAGCTAATGTGTACAAGCGTCGAAGATTTATGGAAGAGTGAGTGAGTAAGGTTTTACGCCGCTTTTAGCAATATTCCAGCAATATCACTGCGGTGGACACCAGAAATGGGCTTCACACATCGTACTCATGTGGGGAATCGAACCCGGGTCTTCAGCGTGGCGAGCGGACGCTTTAACCATTAGGCTATCCTTGGGATATAAGGTCAATATAAAACTCAAAACTAGTATATTGTGGCTCAGTACAAAGAGATAGAGAGTCCTGAGACGCTGATGTCGTTGGTTTATTCCCTGGTCGCGTCATACCTAAAAATATAACTTGGAAGATGGTACTTGTAGTAAGACTCCCTGACGCTGGCAATGAAACAAGGACTTGTCCTTAAAATCCGTAAATGTGTCTGAGTGTTTGTTTTATTTTGTTGATTGTTTAACGCCGCTCAAATCCAAACATGTTAGATTCTCTGTTTAATAGGCTTTTATATTTTGTGTTAGTCTGTCATACTGAAGTAAATATATCCAAGAAAGCCCACGCAAGTCTAGAAAATGTAGCAAGTCTAGATTTCCTCAGCTTCTGAAAATGAAGAAAGTCTCAGGGCTCCTTTTCAATATATATATATTTTTTTTACTATGAATATTTTTTCAGTAAAATATGTTCATTTCAGAGACTAGTTGTTAGTCTAATTTTGTGTGTCAAGCTCAATTGACTACATGTGAGTAATACTGAAGCCATCGCTGCTTCGTGAATGTACAGTTGGATCCTGTTTAATTTGGATGGTTGGTATGTTTAACGCCGCACTCAGCAATTTGTGCATACAATGAAAACAAGTGCCATATGGTGAATACAATGCCAGAATGGGGTGGAACCACGGTTACAATACTGTTACAAAGAGTACAATAGTGAGTGAGTTTAGTTTTACGCCGCACTCAGCAATATTCCAGCTATGTGGCGGCGGTCTGTAAATAATCGAGTCTGGATCAGACAATCCAGTGACTGACATCATGAGCATCGATTGTTTCATCTAGAAATTGCAATCAGAGATGTTAACACCAACAACAAAACACCTCCAGGAGATGGTAACATATGTTGGGGAATGGTAACCCTCGTATATGGTTACCGACAATAATATCCCTGAAGGGCTGTTACCCTAAATTACATATCTGAAGGTTGGATACCGCTAAAAACAAATTGGAGTGAGTAAGTGAGTGGGTTTAGTTTTACGCCGCTTTTTTGCAATATTCCAGCAATATCACGGCGGGGCTTCACACATTGTACCCATGTGGGGAATCGAACCCGGGTCTTCGGCATGACGAGCGAACGCCTTAACCACAAGGCTACCCCACCGCCCATGTTAGTGCCTCAATGTACATGAACAAGAACTGACTTCTTATGAGACTGTCTTCAGCTATCGTCAGTACAAGATGGAAGGTATGTGTGGAGGATGAGTGAGTAGCATCTATTTGATTATAGACAGGTCCTAATGTGGCGGTACCTGTTCACCGTAACATGAGCCCCTACCAATGCTCGCCCCGCCTCCCGCTCTACAAGCTCGCGTCCCGCTGTGATCCCCCAGGCGTTGAATCAGCCATTGTATTTTTTAGCTCCCCCAACATGATAACAGCTTTTCAGAGTTACCTATGCATGAAATTCGCGTTTGCTCTATTATTTATTTTCATCTAATTTAATTAAGATGCTGACAAAAGCGAACTGACGACTACGTTTTGAATCTGTCGAGGTTTCCACCCATCTTTTCAAGCCCAAATGCCTCGCTTCAATATTTCTACATATCAAAATTATTATAAATTGCATAGGTTTTAACACCATGGACATCGGAGCGGAGGTCTCTCTAATTGTTGTAACGAGTCGAAGGGTTTACAAATTAGTCGATGGAGTATCTAAGCGAAGCATAATACGGTCTGTCAAGATACCGTCAGAGCGTCGCGGTCCCCTTCGCCTCCGGCTCTCTCCCGTCACAACCAGAAAACATATTATTTGCTCAAATGCGAAATACAGAGGTGACAGTCTAGTTGAAATTGGGGTAATTAAGGGGGTTTGTCCAACTGACAAGACCCTCGGAACAATTTTCATTTTTTAATATTGGCGGTGTCGTCAGTTTGATCGCGGGACCATCTGCTATGGGCGAGCTCCCGTGGTCGGTAAGAGTCCATGCTGGGGGAAGTCTTTATCTCGACACAGGGAAATCCGACCCCTCTACGTCAGACGGGTTATTGTTATTGTGAATATACAACCCCTGTGATTATAGCATTACACGTCATTGATTGGTGTGGGGCGAGCCACGCCTTGTGTGTTCAGTTCACTTACCTCTACCCCTGGTACACACTTTTTGTCCCTCTCCTCCACACATTCCTGTCTATCCCCATGTCACCACCCACCCTGAATCTGTTTCCCGGTCTTCACAGATTTAAACATTCAAACACCGTTAACAAACATTAAACCATTTATTGCAATGCCTTTATACAATACATCCTCTGGTAACATTAAAACACATCCATATTTTAAAATAAAATACTTTTCAAACTATATCACCCCGTTTTTCTTCTCCGATCGGGACCCGAATGATCAAGACCTACTCCCAATTCGCCACTCTCGCATGCGAATTCAAATGCAAGCATTTCTTACCCAATTTTAGCGTTTTTCTCTTACATGCTAAATTCAATTCCGCATGTTGGAATTATGTTCCAGTCCTCAGGTATAGTTCTTTTTATGAAATCCATACTGACAATATTGGTGATTTTGAAAAAAGAAATGTCTGGTAGACTTGTAGGGCTTTGAGGGCTATACATACAATTGCTCAAATACTCAATATAATCATGTATTTATGTAATATCATAATATCATGACCTGACTTGAATATGAATCGCGTGGTCAACATCTGGGACGTGACATCTCAAAATATATAACTGCTCACTCTGTATGTGTAGCTCATTGGCTAGTGCGGTCACGTGTTCAGTAGAAGACTTGCGTTCAGCTAGGAACAGGATGCGCTTTTACATGCGCATGCAAGTTTGTTCAAGAAATATGAATAATTCATCATTCATTATGTTAGTGTAGGCCTATACAAATTATCCCCAATTGAGACAAAAATATCCTATATAGTTATATATTCCTTTCGCATTATCGTCTTTGGTCTTCTTGAATAATAGGAATTCAATATAAAATTGGGGGTGAAACCCGACTAACCTCACTCACAAACACACCCACCAAACCACTCACTCAGTCACTCACTCACCGATCAACCAACCCACACACTCACTCACTTCCAGATAACACCTCACTCACTCACTCAAAACCCACCCACTCACTCAAAACCCCCTCACTCACTCACTCACACACACACCCACTCACTCACTCATATTTCAGATAACTAGATCACCTCTGCCCTTTAGTGCCCTTTAGAATATTCTCCACCAAAATACTAGGCCAGGTTTTGTGTAGAGGCGACAAAGCCCAATGTTTATTGTAATTCGGTGAGTGGGTGTAGTAGGAAATAAACATTTCCTTATCAACAAACTAACTTCATTGCTAATATTCTTTGGAGTGATCTGTATCAGTACCGCCTAATTTTAGCGCCTTTCAAGTCCTACCGTTACAATGTAAGAACCGGTTCCCGACTGAAGAAGGTAGAATGGGTGTCCAGGTTTTTGCAGCATTAATGGAACATTGTTATGAAATATTGGATAGCACACAAAAATCGATAAATCTTAACAGAGGACATTAAGAAATGAAAACATTTTAATGATATCTCGCCTCTGCATGTGCCATCGCGTTAACTAACCATACAATTTACCGACAAAACTCTTGTGTGTCTTTTTAGAACACTTTTACCAAGACCCAAACAATGCTATCGGTGGAGGACACAGTGCCGATGGACAAACAAGACTTGTCATCCTATAGTTTGACTATGACGTCTCGCCGACTGATCCGAATCAGCACAACGACCAGCCCCGGGCAATACGGCTGATCCATTGTTCTAATGCTATAGCCCCGATTAGGACAAAGGGCCTGGTGGGGGGAGAGGGTCATATGTTACGTCTTTATCTGGCTGAAGCAGTAGCAGAGTGAGCAAGCGAGCAAATAACGCCATTGTCCGGTGTAAGCGGCCATAGAAACCCTGGCCCTCTGCCTTGGTTTAATGAGCGTTATTATCTCATTGTAAGAAGCGAGGCCCACTGCCAATAATATGATATCTCGCATAAAAGGACACGGACAATAACCTGTAATTTTGTTAGAAGAAATCGCAACTCACCATGTAACATATTTTCTTGTCTGAAGACATAATTTAGACTTCAAATTTCGCATGGCATTGAGCGATATTTCCGAGTTATTGGATGTATAATTTAATTAAACCGTTGGGTTCTTAATTCTTGTAATTGTATTGCAAAGGTTAATTAAGAAAAGCCCCAAGAATGGTGATATCATCTTATGTTGACTGATATTGAATAAACCAGCCAGCCTGGACATTGAGCAAACATTTGGAAGTAAATGTAATATTAATGTAATCTCTTCGTATAAACCAATCATGACGTCATAGATGGCTTTCATATTCTCGGTACAAGAAAGAATTTTTGAAATATTTTTTTGCGATGCATGCTTTATGTTCCCGTGTTTCAAAGGTGAACGGTTGACTTGCCGTTGAAAGTGTCTGTGACCAGTGTCACCGGTGAGGCAGGATGCGCTCATCTTTTCGCGAACACCTGGTGTCATGAACCTTTCACAGTGAATTACGAACACAAGCTACAATACAGTTCGAATGGTACAACGAGTCATGGTTTGGGAAGAGATTTTAAAATTCCAATGAAAAGCGTTTTGTTTATATTTTTGGCATCGTACAATGAACTCTGCTTTTAGCGGAGACTTCTTGTAATTATGAAATTGTTTCTTCAAGTTGCTATTCATTCCTTCAATCTATCATAACGCGATACATGTAAACAGTCAAG